TTTACATAAATTTTTTGTAAGCCCTACACATATTGAATTATAAAAGGATGATAACTGAGATTAGGCCCAAACCTAAGTACAATATTAAGTTTTTTTTTTTAATATGCAAATTTAATTAATTAATTTTTTTTTAGTTTAAAATTTTCGATAGCTGATAATCACTTTAAATCTTAATTAATTAAAATCAAGCATAATCGAATCTCATAAAAAAATAAAATCTTTCAATTTTTATTTTTCATTCATAAAACTTAAAATCAAAATTTTATTTTAAAAAATCAAACTCATTACCATTCAAATCAACAAATATTAATAATTTATTTAATAATACAAAAAATATCCTCTTATCTCCTTTCCTAGTCTCCCACCAACCCCATCTCAGTGGTATCATATTGGACATCATTAAAATCAGTCAATATTGGCATTCCACTTGGAAGTTAGATGTGATGCAATTTGATGAATCTTGTCTATTTTCTGACTTATTACATTAAAAATCAATTAAGTCTGGCCAAACCTCTACTTTCAAATCTTCAATTAATTTTATTTTTGCAAAATACAAAAATATGAAATAGAGGAAGTGCGGACCTCAATGTCATTGGGTTTCTCAAAAATAGATAATTAATATGTATAATTATTTCCTAAAGTCACTCTTAAAATTAATTTAATTCTTTATATATAACATGGAATTTCATCAAACTTTTATTGTTGTCTTTGTTTTTTTTTTTTTTAAAGCAACTAATACATTTGAGGTTTTAAAAATTAAAAAATTATATTTTTTAAATGATAAATAATTGATTTTACATTTATTTATATATAAAAAACAATTAATATCAATTTTCATATTATCTTTTAATAATTTGCTTATTTCTAATCCATTGGATTTTCTTTGTGCTATTAACTTTTTTCTATAAGAAATTTTTAATATGTAAAAAACGTAGCACTAAAAAGTGAATAATTAAAAAAAAAAAAAACCTAAATTAAGCATTGATAATGCTTGAATGTTTATAATGGATCCTTTCATTTTCAAATATTACTTTCTAGTTTCTAAATTTAGGTAATTCAATAAATAAGTGAAATATTAATTTTATTTTTCTATATTTAAAGTAGTAAAATTTGAATTTTAATAATTAAAATTAAAATTTTAATAATTTATCAATAAATCACACAGTTGTTTATTTTTTTCAAGGGTAAATCACACAATTGTTAATTAAAAAATGTTTGTTCATTTTGACGAGTTGATAATTTATTGTCTGAATTCATATTGGATTGTCTGATTCATAACTAAATAAAACAACTTGTTGTAAATATGTTTTTAATTGTTGAAAAAAAAGCCAATATTCAAGTGAGACAGGTGAGAGGAGCAGTCACAAGTAATGTCGAAATTTTCAGTTAAGGATGGCTGCTCAAAATTTCCAACTTTGTTTCAACATTTAAGCAGTCCCGACTCCCTACTAATGCCGATGTTATGAATCCAACAAAGTCAAACCACAACTGCCTAAATTGCAACTCCGGGAGCACCAAAATTATCCCATCCTATACACCAACTCTGAATCCAAAATATTATTTATTCACTAAACTAAAAATCCATTAAAAATAATATTGTTCGAATTAAGTTGGATTGGTTTTTTTATTTAATTTGATTTAAATTCAAATAATAAATATTTTATTAAATTCAAATCAAATTTTTTTTAAAAAAATTGAATCAAATTAATATTTTAAATTATACATTTTTAAATGAATGAATACAAATTGATCCGAATAAGATTCACTTAATTTAATAGTATCTAATATATTATATTACAACATATAAAGTTATATGGTAAAAATTATTATGTGAACAACTTAGGTGAATAGTTTTTTTTTTTTGATACATTAGAAATTTCAAAATTTTTTAATAATGACACATAAGATTATTTTTTAATTTTAGGCTATTTATCAAATATATATTTAAATTTATTTAATTATCTAAAACTTTTAAATTTTAAAATAAATGACCACTTCTTATGTATTATTTTGTTATCCAAATATATCTACATGGATAATTTTTAAATTGTTAGTAACAAAATTTAATTTAGAATATATTATTTTTTAGGATTTTTAATAATCTAAATATATATCTTTTAAATTTAAAATCTCATAGATATATTACCCTCTAAAATTGATTTATAAGATAATTACAATTAATAAATTATTTAAATTCAAAACAAAAATCTATGAAAATTTGAAAAGTTTGCACAAATTTTGAATTCAAAAATATCAAATTTAGAATTTATCTTTCTTTTTAAAATTTAGCCAAATTTTAAGAATATAATATATATATATATATATTCATCATACATTTTAAATACATATCTCCACTAAAATTGATTAGATTTGTCTTTCATTATTTTGAACTTGAAAGACAAGTTTTAATTTTTTAATTTCCTTATCATTAGATTATTATCGTTTTCAACTCTGCATTTAAAATAGCAATGGAAGGTGTCAATAAAAATTTAATAAATTTTTTTTATTGTTTCACTCATAATCAAAATCACCCATCATTTTTTTGTTTGAAAAAAAATGTAATTTGTAACTATATTACTTGTATGTTTGTGAAATAATCAGTTGATTTATGTTTTATTGAATGATTCATCAGAAAATTTAAAAATTCAATTGTCTAAGGTAAGAGTGAAAGACTAGGGATTTTTTTTTTATATACATTTATCTTTATATCAATGTCATTTTCTATAAATTAAGCGATAATTGATAATTAATAGCAACCAAACAACAAGGTATCCTATTAATATAATATAAATGGCCTTTCAGGTTTTACTTTGAATAAAAGTTGTTAATTTTCTATACTTCATTGTCAACAAGTCATAACAATTTATAAAAAAAATTGAGATAAGCCGCAATTCAATTTAATTTTTTATTTTTTTGATTTTTTTTAATATTATTTATCGTTTTATTTTAAATTTTATCAAAATTTTAACTAAAAATTAATTTTATTATGATTTGATATCTTAATTGTATTATTTATATTTTATATATGTTTGAATACGTAAATAATTAAATAATATTTATTTATATTTTATTAATATTTAAATAAAATAAAAATAATATGTGCATCAAATCGTAAACTAATTTTTAAATATAAGACTTTATATTAATTAAAATACCCTAACTGAACCACTATAGTTCTTTGCCCAAAATCACATTATGACAGTACTGCCAACGATTTTTTTCTTTCATTTGTGGTTTGGGCTTTAGCCCGATTTTCAGATTTTATTTTTTTTAGAGTTTGACCCATAATAAAATTAAAAGATTGCGTGGGGTTACTTTCTTATATGTACTCGTTAGTTTAAGTTCACGCCAAAGAAAAAAAAGAATGAATTTTGAATTATAATGAATTATTTGATATAATATTTAAATTTTAAAATTTTAGTATGATATTTGAACTATAATATATTAATTAATATAGTATTTCAATAATTACTTACATATCACATATTATTATTTAAAATTAATTATGTTAGAATTATTATATTAAATATCATATTAAATATTTTATTATAATTTAAAAGTTATTCATAATATTAAAAAAAAAACTTGCTAAATATTTTGCAATTAATTGATAAATTTAATTATATTAATAGGAAATGCTTCTTATGAATCAATTATGTGTAACTAATTAAAAAATATATCTTTACAATAATCATTCAATTTACCTATGAATATCTATAACTTTTTCTATAAAAGTATAAAACAACTTGAATGAAAAAGAAAAGTTGAAATAAACAAATAAATATTAAAACTAAAACTTTATTTAAAAATTTTCGATTAAATAAATTGGTTTTTAATTCGCAAAAGTACATTAATCAAATGAATATAAAAAATATTAATCATAATTCATTAAAAAATTCATATTCATAAAAGAAATTTAACATTAATTTTCATTATAATATTTTGTTGAGTAGTTGACCAGTGTCGGAATCTGATATGATATCGTAGGGCAACGACCGATAATGGAGAAAGAAATAATAATAAAAATGAATGCGATGAATTCAATTGAAATTTAAAGGATTGAACGGGATTTGGAGTGAGCAAAAAATTATCATCCCTATTCACATGCTTTGTTACAGCTGATTTTCATTATAATGCACTCTTAGTTGAGTCGACACATAAGAATATATATATATATATATATATATATATTTATAAAAACAATAGAGAAATTTTCTTAAGTCTTGGTATGTCGTTACAATGCATTCTTACATGCTCTCCTCTACTTCAAAAATATCGAAATTATAGTTTTTTATTAGAAGTGTAAATGATATATTAGTATTCGTAAGTTATTTGAATTTAATTTGAAAAAAATTTAAATTTAGTTTTATTATTATCGAGTCGAACTCGAGTAACTCGATTCAACAATCGAGTCGAGTTTGAATTTTTTTATATCCGATTCAAATAACTCGCGAGCATAATCGAACTTTTATATTTAAATATTTTTTATTATTTTAATTAATAAAATATCTCAAATTCGAGTTCGAATTCGGGTACAAGTAATTAAACTTTTATCGAATATAAGAATCGATATTATTTTTACATATTGATCGAACTTAATCAAGCGAACTCGAATAATTCGATTTTGATCACGAATCGAACTCAAACTAAAAAAATAAAATTTGATCAAATTCGAACTGAATATTAAATGACAAATTGAGAATCGTGCTCAAACTTTTCACTATATTGACTCGACTTGATTATACTCTTATTCTCCACCCTTCCCCCAACCTCCCACTAGAACGTGATCGAAAATACCAAATATCACAATGGACTTAACAAGCTGAATTGGGTCCTAATGAACCTTTGGACTACTGGACTTATGTAATGGGCTTACTAAGTAACTTAACTAATTATCACACAAATTGCATAGGAATTGCATACAGAGATAGATTCGCTAAAAAAACAGAGTTGTTTTGTAGTAATTTTTTTGTCCAAATATTGAGTTTATAATTTGTTTATTTACCTATTTTTGTGGGAGACGGTGAAAACTGAAAAGCTTTGAGAAATCAGAAAGTAAATGGCTAGAGAGAAAAAAAGCCCTGGTTTAAAGATCCTCTGGCTCTGGACCTTCGGCACCGCCGCCAGTTAGCTCTCTTTCTCATTTAAAAAAAAAAAAAAACTTATCTTTTTCTCTTCAAATGTTTATAAATTTTGCATGAATGTAACCCCCCCCCCTTTTTTTTTCTTGCAGTTTTGGTTACAAATGTGGTGAGGACTAGACTGAGAGACATGGAGCAAATGATGAATTCTCAACAACAGCAACAAGAAGGCGCTATTCCTGATGCAGTTATAGTTGACACCTCGCCAGAGTCTAATGAGGGAATTGTTAGAGAAGTTAAATGATAGGTTTGATTTTCATTTCCATTCCTTGTTGTTTTCTTTTTGGCCTTTTTAAGCTTCGTTTTTTGTCAAGTATAGAGTACAGGTTTTTGTGAAATGGGTTTCGAATTGGGGTTCAATTCATGGTTTCTTTTGATGCATTGTTGAACTTTATGAATGTGTTCCATGTGTTTGTTGAAATGTTTAACTGAATTATTCCGTTTATTAATTGGGTTGGCAGGAAGCCCTGGAAACTCTTTTTGATAGTTTTCAAGTTTCATTGTGGTTAATTTTAGGAAACAAATCAAGCTAAGTTTAGTTGTTTGATAAAAATTTTTTAAATTTTAAATGTTATAAATAATATTAAAACATATATAAATAATTTATCAATATATTTTAAAAATAAATCCTTAATGGTTATTCTCATTTTCAATTTTCTGCCACAGCTCCTTTGTTATCTAAGTACATATTTTATTATTAATTTTAATTGACCGTTACAATAATTAATCTCACATTTATCGTTATTTTTAATCTCATAAGAATCAATCTCACTGCATATGCAAATGAACCCTAAACCATGAAAATAGGAGTACGATAAGTCTACTTCACGTTGGTGGTTATGAAATTACTTGCATTGCTTGTTAGTTTTATTCCTTTGTCTGTAGTTCTGAGTTTTGCGTCAACTTGTTGTTTGAGCTTATAACATATAAAGAAATAAAATATAGCCAAAGGATAGTTTGATGTAATCATTTGCATTCATAGAATCCAAAATCTGTTGATAATTTGGCCACAAAACCATAGTGGTTAGTCAAGGATTAATCTAGACTTGATAATTTACGAAATGATAATATAATACGAATACGATAAAAAATAAGATATAAATATGATGCAGTTTAACATTTTAATAATAATTATATATGGGTTTAATAAAACAAAAAAATTATATTTTATGTTTTTGGATCGATCAAAATTATAATATAATTTTCACATAAAATACAATACGAATACACGAATTATAATTTTTTATACGATATGGATACATGATTCGCCAGATTAATCTGCTTTATGTCTTTTTTCCGGTTAGAGTGTGCTTTGGATGCCTCCTGTTTTTGCAGTCTAGTATTTACTGTAGACCCTATGCATATGACAATTGTAAGTAGTTCTTGTCATATTCTTCACCATTCCAACTATGGGTTGCAGATCTCGCAGATTTTCCACATGAACTTCACCTCAGCTGTGAAAGTGCACCACTCTTTGCCCATTGACCTTGGAATTAGTAACTATTAACATAGAGCTGAGGGTGCAATTTTGAATAAAAATTTCCTCATCAAAGTGAAGGAATAGTTGATCACTTCTGATGGGTGAAAATTCTTGTTTTAGCAAGGCTGAATTATGACCTTGTTCACTTTTGTTGTTCTAGTGCTATGATTTTATTATAGAGAGTATTGTCAGTTTAAAAGGTGTAATGAATACTGATTGATGATAGCTTTAATGCTGATTTTGAAAGTTAATCCTAACATCATCCGCAGCAGGGCATTTGGCTGTTGAGAATTATAGGAAAATATTTAATATGATTTTTGAATTTAAAATATATCTAATATGATAAATGAATTATAAATTTATCAAGTAATATGATATTTGAAAAATTATTTATTAATCATATGTTATTATTTAAAATTAATTATATTAAAGGTAAATATCACATTAATTAAAAAAATACATAATTTTAATAACATGTTAAAAATTTTTAAAATTTAAAAATTATATTAAACATTTCACTAATTAAAGGATTACTTCAAAACATTAACCTTTGAACCAAAGGATTGAAAAGAAAGAGTTAAATTAAGTCAGAGAGAAGAAAATGAGGCTGTCTTGGTGATAAAGTCCACTGGAACCAGTGTGCTACACATCGCTATTTGAAATTGGGAAGTCTGGGCACATGATCAACGTGCACATTGGACGTGCGCCTATACCTACTCTATTGATATCATTGATTGCTTTTTGGCAGTTGTTGCATTGTGGACTATAACGTTTTAAACGATGCAAAATCTTATGAATTTAGGTTCTATACCACTGTCACGATTTCTAATAGATTGTAGACAGTTGTGTTTCTGGTACATGAGCTAGCATCAGGGCATTTCACTTGTGTCCTGAGTTGAAATACAAGGCCATCGGGGGGAAAAAAGAACTATTTTAATCCTATTTCACAGCTACACTTAGGTCAACTTTTCAAGCCAAAGTGTTATGTTTACCATTTGGTGCCAGATGTGTACGGTTTCATAAATTGGCGTATTTCAGTTAGATGCGTGACAAAAGGGGATTGTGGAGCTGAGAAAGGAAAAAAATTTGTGATTTCCAGTCAACATTTCAGCTTCACTAATCTTATTAAAACCGGAATCTTATTAAAACCGGTTATTTCATTTCCAAACGGTTTGCTATCAAATGAAATTAAATGATAACGAAAATTTTTAAGTAAGCTACATTTATTTTTCAATACTCTTAATGATTGGTATTTTATACAAGCAAGCAAAGAGGTTCCTTCTTGTTTTACGTGGTTTAGTCTTTAAATTTTATTTGATAAAAAGGATGAAAAAGAAGTAAAATTTGATAATTTAATGATTAAAACTTATAATTATTTTTTTATTTTGTAACTTAATCATTGAATTAATAAATATTCTATTCTTATTTCTTTTTATCCTTTCTATCAAATAAACCCAAAGGATAAGCCTCTCAAAAGTCTAGACAGCCCCCACAAAGGTGATTTCCGAATAAGTTCTAATTATTAGAGCTAGATTTTTACTTGATTCTTTTTATAACTTTATTCAGTCCATTCTAACACTTACCATCTTTTTTTTTGCAACCACTTTTTGGGTATATTTGAATATTTATTTCAAACAATAAAAAAAATTCCTTTATATCTTGTGTAGCTCACGATTAATGTAAATTAATGTCATGATTGATGTATAAAATAATAGATAAAATAAAATAATAATTATTTTATATTATATTTAGTTTGTATTTAAAAAAATGATAAGATTATAAAAAAATTAATTATTCTTTTAATATAATATGATTTAACTCTTTTAAAATAAAGATGATTATTTTTAATTCATAAGATTAAACTTATATATTTTATTATATTTTTAAAAATTATATTAATAATTTAAATTATGTAAAACTTTAAGAAAATATAATTTTGATCTATAAATAAAATTATCTTATTTTAATCATTGTATTTATTAAACATAATATAAGATTATATTACTTAATTTAATTTAATTATATTCATAATATTGTTTATTTTATCATGTCACGTTTGATGTATTAGATGTTGGATATGATAAGATGATAATTATTTTATATTATATTTGATTTATCTAAAAAAATAATAGAATTACAAGACTGATTAATCATCCTATAATGATTCAATCATCTTAAAGTAGAAAAATTATTTTTAATATATAAAATTGAACTTATATATCTCATTATATCTTTAAAAGTTATATCAATAATTTAAATTATATAAATTTTGAAAAATTTTAATTTTAATTAATAAATAAATTATTTTATCATAATTATTGCACGCATCAAATATAAAAATAAAATGATATTATTGAATTTAATCTTAATCATAATATTATCTTATCTTATCATATCATAATCTTGTATATCGAACATATCCTAAAAATCTTGTATATTATGATAATATTTGATGGATAAGATAGAGTGATAATCATTTTATATTATATTTAATTTGTATTTAAAAAAAATAGATATGATTACAAAAAATATTAATCATCCTCTTAATATAAGATGATTCAATACTTTTTACTTAGAGTTGATTATTTTTAATCTATAAAATTACACTTACATGTTCTATTATATATTTAAAAATTATATCAATTATTTAAATTATATTTGTATAAATTAAAAAAAAATAAATTTAATCAATAAATAAATTTAATTTTTACACACATTAAACAGAAGATAAGATGATATTATTTAATTTAATATTTTTATAATATTATTTTATTTTATCTTATCATAATCTTATATATAAAATATATCTATATACACATATCTTAGGGAGATAAGATTGGGTACTTAAAATCTTTTCAACTTTTTTTAAACTTAAATGTCCAGCTCTAAATATAGAAAAGGATTTCAAATTAATTTTTATTTAATTTATCTGTAAAATATATTTACAATTATAAAATAATAGTATTAAATATTTTAATATTTTAATAGTAATAAAAAAATGAACGAGGTAAACTTAATTCAAATTAATTTTTTGAATGTATTTATCATCAGATGATTAATCTTTCTCTCTCATACTTTATTTACAAATATTTGTATTTGGTAAAAAAAAAAAAATTATTCATAATTTAAAATTATAAAATCTTTGTCCAAAATTATTCTTTCCATCTCTCTCTTTCTTTTAGCTTTTTCTGTTTCTCTCTCTCTTCTCTCAAGAATCTCCCAAATCCAAGAGAGACTTTCCTCTCCTCCGATCCTTTCTTCGTCTTGGTTTATGAGGTACTCTCTCTCTCTCTCTATCTCTTTCTGGATCTTTAATTTTCTTTTTTTAATCAGAGATCTATGGTTTTTATTTTCGCTAAACCAAATCGATTCGCTTTTTATTGATCTTTGTTTCATAATATTGGGATTTTCTTAAAAATATTATTTTTTTTCCTGTTATTTGTCTTTGGTTTGTAAAGTTCTTGATTTGATCATTTCTAAATAAATCAATTAAATAGCAAAAAAAAAAAAAACTTTGTGATTAGTTTTTTCGATTTTAGGCTTTTCTTGTTGTGAAGAGAAAAATAAGTTATTTTGCAAGAATTTTCATTTCTTGATTCGTTGTTTATATATATATATATCTTGGATTTTTTGGGAAGCTCTTTTTAGAATTTTTTTTTTTGAGGTATTGTGATAAAGCTTTTTTTTTTTTTTAATTTTGATTCTGGTATTATTTAAAAAAAAAAAAAACTGTCTTTTTCTTTGAGATTTGAATCTTTGATTATTAAACTAATATAAAAAATATATTTACTTGGGCCTTAACCGATATATACGCAATTCTTTTCTAATATATGTTCAATTTTAATTTTTGATCTCTCACTAATTGATTTCAATGTTTGCGCCTTTGATCTTGGCGTGCACATCTGCAGCTCGAAGGAGAAACCCACTCTTGGGTAAGTTATTTTTCATCCCAATTTCTTAATGGTATTTGATCTGATATTGTAAAAGATAGTAATAAACTAGAGTATCTGTAATGCTTAGTATTTTGAGTAGTTGATGTCAGTTACATCACATATACAATGAACTTTGGAAGTAATAAGCCGAAGTTCACGTCCTTTGGCTGCAATTTTCTCGGTCTCCTTGTCTATAAACCTTTTTATGCTGTTACGTTCTAGAAATGAACTATTCTTCATTTTTACTGGAAATTAATAATGGTATGATCTTCGTGCAGTCTGTCTTATTGCTTAGAGCTTGTTACTTGATTTATAAGTAGGGAAAGTTTGGTCTTTCTGCTAGACATCTTCGTGTTATTTTTTATATATAAAAAAAAAAAAAAAATTCTGTACCTTTCAATTTTTTCCCTTTAAGTAAATTTGATTTCATTATTCTATAATTCAGGGTTATGTCTTAAGTATTTGTTTTCATAACTGTGGGATGTTTAAAGTACCTTGATAAAATAGGAACTTGTTTTTTCATTTATAGTTTAGATTGTGGCTGATGCTGAAAAATTTTCTGTTTGACTTCTCAAACTCAATTCATTGGACTGAGTGCTATCTTGCCTTTGAAAAACCGCTGTGCTAACAATATGTGTGAGAACCTTAAAGTGTGTATTTCAGATGTTCTTTTATATTAATTTTAATTCGTGCATAATTTCCATTTATCTGTTGTGCAGCGGCACGCGGATTAAGACCCGCAAACGGAATATTGCTGCGCCCCTGGACCCTGCAGCATTTGCTGATGCAGTGGTCCAGATCTATTTGGATAATGTTGGTGATCTGGTAAATATCATAATGCAAAGTTTACATATTTTTAATCTTGGTTTAAACTCAAGCATGATTCTGACTTCTAGTTCGTTATCTTGTGCTTGCTGATCAAACACTTGCTTCATGCAGGAACTTGTTGCCAAGAACATTGAATCTTCAGACCTCAACTTCTCAAGATACGGTGACACCTTCTTTGAGGTAAACTTCTTGCTTTTATATGGAAATATTAACGTTTTGGTATTTTCCTTTCAAGGGCAAACATTGGATTGCCCTCTGCTATTTCATTGTATCTTTAAATCAGCATTAAGAACTGTGATCTACTGGAAAAATAGATATAGGAAGCATATGCATGCTAGGTGGTTATTGGGTTGACTTTTGAGGCTAACATTTGATCTACCTACCGTGCATGGCTAGAGTTTTGAACTCAGCATCCTGTTTCTAAGTAACATTTGGTA